GGCAGTTGCTGAACCCATTGGTTTCGAAGAAAAACAGTGATTCTGCGAGCTCGATGTGGGGTTGCGCAGTCGTCTTGGTACACAAAGTTGTTCCTGAAGTTGACCCTTACAAATGGAAGCATTGTTTGCTGTAGAATGTCTCTGTAGGAACCCTGGTTGAGGTTGCCTCCCAGACAAACCAACTGGTTCTGGGCACCGACATGAAATGCTCCCCAAACAGAGTCGTTACGACCCCCTGCTTGCACCCTAGGCAGTACACAATCATCGTTTTATGCCCCTCGTACACGTCAGCGGACATGGATTCGACCGTCAACCCTAAAAACTCCATATCTGGCCTCATCACCGAAAGCGACGTGATTCCAGTGTTTTGGCGGCAAACGCACGTGGTCCCCAGCCCATTGCAGACGTCGCTGTATATGACCTGCTGTTAACAGTAGTTTCCCTACTGGTCTTCGTGCAAAATAACCGCATTGCAGTAATCTCTTGTTCACGAGTGACCTTGAAACGAGCGTTTGAATGACATTCTGCCACTCTTTTCTGAGGACACTGGTTGTCTTTGTACGACCAGCACGGCGCACTCTAAGGAAAAGGCGATTCTGTCTTCTTGGTGTGATACGCGGACACCCTGGTCTAGGTATTGGAGTAGGTGCCTTTGTTGTAGCATTTCTTTGGAGGACTTTACTAACGGTTCCTGATAAATGTTGCATTGCCTGTCAATGGCTGTCCGTTTCTGGCCATTTTCTCTGAGAGCAAGAATCCCATAAAAAGCTGCGTTGCTAAGCTGTCGAACCATATCTTCTCTAAGGTACCTGTCAAGTTTCAGAGCGATCCCTTCATAGCTTCTCTAAATACACTCCAAAGATTGGCCAAACCCATGCGTTTTTATAGAAGGGCAGAAATTGCCGAAAAGACCACCCCTCACATTTCTGACCACAGAACATGCAACTACATGCATTAATTGTTTTGATAGTTTTGTGGTAATTAGGTAACACACCAGGCTACACATGGAGTGACACTTCGGTTTGGGATTTAAAGTAGTTAGAGAGAAAATAAATATTTTGTAGAAAATTTACTCGCCAAAAAATAATATTCCATGTTAAGTAGTAACCCTGTAATCTTAACTTGAACCCTCAAGTTGATTGGCAGCTTTAGTGGAATATTTTTAAAATTTTTCCTTTTAAAAATTTTCATTTTTCAAACTGGCATTTTCAACATGTGACTTTTCACTCCCATCCACCAGGAGCTCTTTAACATTTTCTGTATTTTTTTTTTAACTTACAAGAATGATTCTTAGGATTGACATACAGTTCAAATGAGAAAAACAGCTGTATTGAATTATATTTTTTTTTATTGAATTTATGCATTTTTTGTGAAATTTTCACTTTTTTTCATTCTGTCATTTTCAACAAATGTACTTGAACTCTTATTATATCACCCATACTTATTTCCAGAACCTATCTTGTTAACTGTGGATCGATCTATCTCTGAGGGGGTTCTCGCTAAATTGGAATCAATGTAAGTGGTTTATATGTCTGTCATGCCTACTGAAGCTGGCGTGCCAAAATCCGAAAGCAATTTAGTGAGAAACCCCTTGGAGGTGGATCGATCCTGTTAGATTGATCTAGGTATGGGGACTCCGTCTTGTGCTTGTTACACATTTTACTTTAGTCCTAATTAACTGTTGCGCAGAATTAAAATCTGATTATGCCTGTAGAGTTAAGCATAATGCATTATTGCATCAGAATTGACAGTGTCCTATTTTGTGCATTTTTATTTTCTGCTTTTTGTCTGTATATTTGACAGCTTTGCTGCCTTGTTTTTTGTTTTTTTTTTCGATACGGTTTAGGCGTTGCGATATATCAAAAAGTACAACATCGCAATATTCAGTGGTGAAAATAAAATGTGAGATACTCCTAAAATAGCAGCGATACGCCCAGAGTCACTATTGAACTTGAATAGGAAGTCATAAACTGGTAATCTGTGACCTTAAAGTTGACACTAGACCTACTTTTCATGATGAACTGCACTTTGCCTGTTTTTTTGGCCTTTATATCTCCAAAATTGGCAAAGAAATGCCCAAAGTTACTATTGAACTTGAGTAGGAGGCCGTCTTTTTCACCATGAACTGAACTTTGCATATTTTCTTGCCCCTCATATCTTCCTCTTATTGGGCTTTCTCTTTTGTCAACATATATGCAACACTGATAACACATTTCAAGGAAAACCAATAGGCCTATTGTCTAGAAAATCACAGGAGTGATCAATGTTAGGAAAATGCAAGTCAATTCGAAAATCTGCTCGATTGGACCATTTTGCGCTTATGTTTTTTCGCCTTTTTTTTTTTTTTTTTTTGCATATTTTGATAACTCTTGTATATTGCATTTTATAGAGCTTAAAGATGCATACAAAGTCAATTTTTTGTCACAAAAACCAACCAAATGCCAGCATATAGTTTCAAGTAGTATAACTAAGAGAATTACCAAAAGGCATTGTTTAATTTTACCCGAAAATGATGTTTGAACGGATTTTTCTGCTGGCTTTTTTTTTTTTTCCACACGAATGCGCTTACTTCAGCTGGTGGTACAATATCCGGAGGCGGCATCGCCTCTCTGATCCTCTAGTTATTGTACCACCAGCGTTAGCGCTGGCGGTACACATGGTTTTAGTCCCGTCCGGTCCGTTCCGCCGGCTCCGCCGGCTCCTGCGGCTCCGCCGGCTCCGCCGCCATGTTACCGTTACCGCTTCTCCTCCTAGACGGTAAGGGCCCCCATACCCATCTCTTGGATTTAGGTCACCTATAATCTCAACTCGTTCCACGTAAAATTTGGGCTTTGTCGGTATTGGGGTCTAGGTGTGGCACTCATTGCAATGCACCCTTGTCCAAAAATGGCAAAATTAAATGCTAATTATCTAGCCTACGGAAGGAATTATGGGAAAAATTTCTACAGACGGCTTTCCAAAAGTCATATGTGTAGATTTCAAATATGCCCTTGGATTTGACCTTTGACCTTTATTTCAAGGTCAAANATATCTCCAAAACTGGCAGAGAGAGGTCCATAGTTACTTTTGAACTTGAATGGGAAGTCATATACTGGCAATCTAAATGTGACCTTGAAATTGACCTTTGACCTACTTTTTATCATGAATTGAACTTTGCAAATTTTGGTTCCCTTTTATTTCCAAAACTAGCGAGATAGGTCCATAGTTACTATTGAACTTGAATATGAAGTCATATACTGGCAATTTACTGTGACCTTGAAATTGACCTTACGATGAACTTAACTTTGATAATTTCTTTCTCTTTTAACTCCAAACCTGGCGGAGATAGGTCCATAGTTACTATTGAACTTGAATAGGAAGTCATATACTGGCAATTTACTGTGACCTTGAAATTGACCTTTGACCTACCTTACGATGAACTTAACTTTGATTGTACCATTTTAAGTTATATATATTTTTTGCGTATGAAAATTCTTGTTGATTGCATTTTTATAGCTTGTCAAGCATAAGACTGGTGGCTGTGTCCCTTATTTTGTGTATGTAGGGGTCTATACGAATGCGCTTGCTCCAGCTGGTGGTACAATATTCGGAGGCGGTATCGCCTCTCTGATCCTCTAGTTTGTTTTGTTTTCTGGAGATGTTAGAACTGATGTTAGAACTGATCAAAAACTTAGCACTGTTCTTAACAGAGTCAGATAAGGACTCCCAAACAACTCCCATCGCTCTAGCAGAGTACAGTGCCCTTAAAGGACGCAGATGCATTTACACTGAGGCACAATTTCGTTGCTTTGGCGACCATTCAACGTCCTGACCATACAGTTTGTTTGTTTGTTTGTTTGTTTGTCTGTCTGTCCTTAATCAACATAACTCAAAAAGTTATGGACCGATTTTGATAAAATTTACAAAAACTGTCAGAAGTGGGCCAAGGAACAGATGATTAGTTTTTGGTGGTGATCCGGATCAATAATCAATCAATAATCAAAAAATAAAAAAACTGATTAAATCATATTAGGCATATAGAATGAAAGTTTAGGGGAGAAACGGTATAGGCCTATTTGGGTGGAGACTTTACTGCCTTGGTGGAGATCTGCACTCTCGGAGTGCTTTTCTAGTTACCTCCGCCAATGAGGTTAGGCCTATGTTTTCACCCCTGTTTGTTTGTTTGTATGTCTGTCTGTTTGTCAGCAACATAACTCAAAAAGTTATGGATGAATTTTGATGGAATTTACAGGGTAGGTCAGACATGGGTTAACTTAGAAGTGATTAGTTTTTGGTGGTGATCTGGATCAAAAATCAATCAATAATCAATAATCAAAAATAAAAAAACTTAGCTATTGACCGATTTTGATGAAATTTTCAGGAACTGTCAGAAGTGGGCCAAGGAACAGTAAGTATTTGATGGCGGTCTGGATCAATAATCAATCAATAATCAAAAAAATAAATCATTAGAGAATGAAAATTTAGGGATGAAACGGCATTGGATGGAGACTTTGCTGCCTTGACGGAGGTCTGCGCTCTCTGAGTGCTTTTCTTGTTTTGATGTCTTGGATCGTCACGGAAAAAGGGTCTTTAAAAGGGAAAAAGGGACGCGGAAAAAGGGTCTTTATTACTCGATCGAAAGCTAGGCAAATGTCACCCTTTGCCAGGGGATGGGCGACAGATTAATTTTTCACAAGATATTCACAGATATGGCTTTAGATAAATAGACAGTCATTTCATTCTCTGCCTTTTTCAAATATTCTGCCACCCTGTGGTAGAGGTTGGTCATGGGTCATATCTTGTTTTTTTCTGCGGCTTCATCGAATTTAAAGAATGCACACAGAAAGTATGATTGATGAAGGTGATAACATTGGCAACTTTTATTATTTTGATTAAAATTCTTATGATAAGAAAGGTAAAAGAACTAGACAGCATAAAATATCCACTCGTTTTCATTTTTCTATTTGATTACATTTTCATATGCTTTGTCTTGGTTTTATATAATAAATGCGCTATTTGCAATGTTCAATGTAGCAGACGAGCGAAGTCACTCCGAAGATTTCATGGAAAGCATGTAAGGTGTAATTACCTAACTTCAGTGTTCCAAGATTTTTTTAAAAATAATTTTTTGATATATTTCACGAAGTCTTACCCCCGAATTAGCACGAATATCCATGCGTAAACACTACTGACACACTTAGAGGGCATTTCCAGAGATTTAGATCGATCCACCTAGATCGACCTAACTCCCTAGGGGTTCACGCTAAATTGCAGTCAGCCGACCGTGCACATAAATTAATTACCCCCTTACATCTTGTAGTAGGGTGCATTCCCATAGATTTTAGATCGATCTATCCCCGTGGGGAGTCTCACTAGATTACTGTCAGTTTATCTGTCTTAAATGTCCGTCCCGCCTACTACAAGCTGTAAGGGGCTAATTAACTTTTGTGTCCGCTCGGCTGACAGCTATTTAGCGTGAACCCCCAGGGAGTTAGGTTGATCTAGTTGGATCGATCTAATCTCTGGGAATGGGGTCTTATATACTAGCTGTTTCCTTACTGCTGTGAAAAAAAAATCGCATGAAATTAAAAAAGAAAAGCCCCAATAAATGTAAAATTACAACCAGCGTGCGCATTCGTTGAGGGAGCTCTTAATTCTTTATCTTACCTCATCTCCTCAGATGAAAGTTAAAGAGTTCAATCAAAACTTGACAATTAAAGAATGTTTATGATAGAAGATGCATTGTATATAAGCACAATGCTTTTTATCTGTAGCCCCAATATGACAATTATTCTGTTGAATATATTCTCAAAAAGGGAAGATGTTCTTGGACATCCAGACATTGTATATTCCCTTGGCAACTTCTTTGGTGGTCTCAGTGCATGATAGTAATTGCTTCACCATCTCCTTTTGTACAGAAGAAAAATTTTCCTTCCATCTCTTTTTAATAATTTAAATGCATTCACCCTTTGGTTGTTTGAGGTTGCTTGATTCTTCCTTATGATTCCTATGCAGCAGAACTATCACTCCTCATTTTAACTGACTGATCAGACATGATAAGGCAAGGTTTTCAAAAATTGTTTGTTTTTTTTTTTGTTTTTTTTTCAGCATAAATGCAGTTCTGATTATTGGGATTTTAAATGTTGATTGTGCTGCTAAGCTTTGTTCATTATTGCATCAGAATTCACAAAATTATATATTTTGTGCATCTTTATTTGTTTTATTATTTTTTTAAACCAAATTTTGTGTCAGGTGTTTGCTGCTAGTCGGTCTTGATTGTCCATTGTGGAGCTAGCTGTGAGATGTTGGTTATAAAATCACTTGGTTCCTTAAGTATCAAGTAGTCATGAAACTTTATAACAGGACCATAAATTACTAAGCCATAGCACAAATTTTACTGAAATACAAATTTTATGAAATCCAGGGGTAGATCCACAGATATTTCCTGATAGTCTTCCAAATTATCTTTGTTGATCCATCCTCCATTTTGACCGTCTTCTGACAGTAAAAAAATTGATACCCACCATGTAAACTTGAAAATCTGACCGTCCTCCAGAAGACCCAGGAGACAGCCTCAATCCGCCCCT